ACGCTGCCAACAAACCTCGAGTTCGTTATTCTGGCCACCATGATCAAAATTAACGAAGAGCTTCATTGACCGCTGTCAAACGACTAGCCGGTCTTCAAACTCGACGCCTTACACTCTGCCTCAAGATCTGGCTGCTTCTGCACCTCCGCCATGGCTGCTGCCTTTGAATGTGATCAACAAAACCAAAGTTTGTCAACTCACACCCAAAGATCTCATCCGTCTTCTTGCCTCTGCTTCTGCACCTCCGCCATGGCTGCTGCCTTTGAATGTGATCAACAAAATCAAAGTTTGTCAACTCACACCCAAAGACCTCCTCCGTCTTCTCTCGGACTCGGCCTGGGTTTTCACCCACGAACTCAGCTTTGCAGATCACCATATAAAAGAAAAAAAAATGATGGAATCTTGGTGGACAGCACCATGCAAAAAAAAAAAATAATAATAAAATAAAATAATGATGGTGGATGGCACCATGTAAAAGAAAAAATAATAAAAAAAAAATCTTTCATGGTGGAGGACATCAAGTAAAATATATATATATATATATATATATATAATTATAAAGGCTTCAGGCGTGAAGGCAAAAGAATAAAAAAAAAAGGTGGCAATGATGATGTTGGGAAACATCTTTCAAAAAGAATAAAATAAAAAAAGAGATAGCAATAATGATGTTGGGAAGCATCTTTCAAAGACAGCACCAGCTGCCAATTGTTTAAATTAGCAAATTGGAAGATGCAAGGCAGTGAGCAAATGCAGTGGCCTATATGCGTGTGTATGTGTACAAGATTGTGGACATATTTGTTATATACAAGTTGTAATTTTGTAGAATTTGAAACTCACACGGTGCCAGGCGCACCGAGAGCAATTATATTAAAAAAAAAAAAAGAAGAAAAAAAAAAACACATCTTGGTGATGTACGTGTTTTCTCTGTATTTAGCACAATACACTAAATAAAACAAAGCATGTTCATTGATTTTCGAGAAATTACAAGTGCGAAAAAAAAAAATGTATCTAACAAAGAAAGAGAAAGATGGAGCCTTCACAAAGGTTGTTTACGTGAAGCCCCACTACGTGGCAACACTCTAGGAGTGGGAGGCATCGGAGCGAGAGGCATAGGAGCGAGAGGCACCGAAGATAGATCATTCGAGGCCCCAATACTTGGTGGAACGCTAGATGACGCAGGAAAAAGGTGCCTCTGGAAGAAAGACGCAAACCTTTGACGGTCACTTTGAATTTGACCTTGAGATTCTAGCATCTCATCAAGCTTCCTCTTCATGCCTGTCGAGTAATTATTGGCAAGCACATGCAAACTTCTATTCTCGTGTTTAAGCTGTTTGATCTCTTGCTTGAGATTCTCCACCTCTGCCATCAATGATTCAACCTGACGGGATCGAGCCAGTAGGCGTTGGCCCATGTTGGACACAGAGCCCGCACACTGAACACTGAGAGCTTGGGATTCTTGAACGGCCAACTCATCGGACCGTCCTGAAAGCAGCTGACTATCTTTAGGAGTGAGGAGGTTCCGAGCTACTATCGTAGCTGTTGTTGCATCCGTCATCACAGAATCTTCACCTGTAAGAGGGCCGTTAGGAGATAAGAAAGACGGGCACCATACATTACCTTGACGCGGTGCGACCGGATCACTGCTAAGACTCAAATCTAAGCAGATGTTAGATGGGTTAGATGCGTTAGCCATTTTTCAAGAAGTTAAAAGAGAAGGGTTGGATGGAGTAAAATCTCAACGGGCCGGAGACGATGTTCACAAATGGGCAATCTTCAAAGTGTGCATGTTAGAGGTGATCGATCACCTCTAGTAAAGGAGAGGCGACACAATCACCAATTCAGAATTGAAGAGACACCATGCTTCAAAGCCGGATTTTCTGGCGTAAAGATCGCCAGCTCTTCAGACGCAATCCCGACTTTTCAGAAAGCGTGTGTAACTTTGTCAAAAGCTCCCGGCTTTTCAGAAGACGCATGGAAGGCGAGAAAGCAGCTGTACACTTTTGCCGACAAACATGGGTGACAAAGCCGAAAGCTCCCGACTTTCCAGAAAGCGAGTGCAACTTTGTCAAAAGCTCCCGGCTTTCCAGAAAGCGCGTGCCACTTTGTCAAAAGCTCCCGGCTTTTCAGAAGACGCGTGGAGGACATTGCCGCATCTGCACTGCCACTTGCCATTACAATTCCTATATACATCAACATTCATGGCAAGGCATACACCCACAAACGCATAATTTTCCTTCTCGGCCGAAAATGTAAGCTGCAACCAACCCTCTCAAACATGCTCAGTTTTCTTCTTCTCTTGAGAACACATTTTCAACCATGGATGTATCCCCCAAAGAAGATACCAGATGCCTGGAGTACAGATGAGGCAGGAGGAAACGGTAGATCGAAGCATGTGCAGGCAAGCACAACAAATATATGTGCTGATTCATTCGCTGCTTATTGAAAAGCAAAAGTATCTCATATCATCAAGGGCGAAAGCAAAAGTATCTCATATCATGCTTTTTCCCTATCTTTTCCTTTGCCCTTGTTCTCACCTGCCAAGACAAGGACAGAGAAAGCAATATGTCGGAACCTCCACTCAAACTTGCGCTGCCACAAAGAAGTGATGGTCCATTCAAATGCAAGGTTTGCATTCCACTCCTGTATCAGAAGACAAATACTACAAGAGAAGATGCCAAACCTGCATAAGGAAATACCACTTCTGCAAAGGGAGCAAGAAAGGCAAGTGAAAATGATACATCGAAGCATGTGGAGACAAGCACAACAAATAAATATGCTGATTCATTCGCTGCTTCTTCAAAAGCAAAGGTATCTCATATCATGCTTCCTCCATGTCCTTTCCTTTGTCCTTGTTCTTACTCGCATGACAAAGTGCAAAGAGCAATCAGCCGGCACTCGAAGTCAGTCTTCCGATCTGGAACCAATTACCTAGAATCTATTCCCTGGTTGCTTACCTAGCGTTGCTCTCGAGTAGTCATCTTCAACGGTTGATACACTTCCAGAGAAGGGACCACATCTGCTCGGAGAAAGACGAGTGACAATGAAAAATCAATCTTTCTATTTCGTACTCTTCAGTACGAATTAGAAAGATTGAACAAAGAAACAGAAAAAAGGAGTAAGCTCAGACCTTCGGGGGAGACCAAAAGAATCCTGCTGCCCAGTTCAAGAGTAGCACAAAGGAAAATCAACGAGTGGAGGAGACCAAAAGAATCCTGCACCCAGTTCAAGAGTAAGCCTGCGGAAAATCAACGATTGGAGGAAACCAGAAAATCTTCCAGTCGAACTCAAGATCAAGCCTCGATGGCCCTTGAAGAAATTTCCAGCCCAATTCAAGATCAAGCCTCGACGGCCCTTGGGTTGACATCTACATTAAGAGACTTCAAAACGCATCTTCTACACGTGACAAGCACATGTCTACGACGCGCCTTGAAGTGGGGGCATTTGTAGACATCAAAATTTCGGTGAAATGAACGTTGACCAATAATTAAAATTTCAACGCTCACGTGTCACATAAATTTTACATGTAGCGTGTGACTCAACGAAAAATCGAAATAAATTGGAAAAGTCATCAAATATGACACGTGTCAATACCTGGCAGAAATGATTTATTTCATCTGATTATTTAAATCCAAAAATCAAGTTTTGGAATTCTATAAATAGGAAGCCAAGGCATTCATTTTGGGGGGGAAGAAAGAAGGAAAAAAAGGGAGAAAGGAAGGGAAATTGATATCACACCAAAACCTTGAAGCTTTGAAACTCTAAAGCTCTCAAGCAAATCCCGAAGGATAAAAAAAAGCTCTCTTCGTTCTTCGTTAAGTCTTCCTTCAAGATCAAGCCCCGACGGCCCTTGAAGAAATCCGCACAACCATTCTTCAAGATCAAGCCCCAACGGCCCTTGAAGAACTTCCACCAACTCAAGATCAAGCCCCGACGGCCCCTTGAAGAAAGTGTTCATCGTTCATCATCTGTTCATCCTAAGATCAAGCCCCAACGGCCCTCTGGATCAACAACCTCAACAAATCCACATATCCAATCGTTCTTCAAGATCAAGCCCAAAAGCCCTTGAAGATCCGCTCATCCACCAACCTTCAAGATCAAGCCCAAAAGCCCTTGAAGATCCGCTCATCCACCAACCTTCAAAATTAAGCCCCAACGCCCCTTGAAGAACTTCCACCAACTCAAGATCAAGCCCCGATGGCCCCTTGAAGAAAGTGTTCATCATTCATCATCCGTTCATCCTAAGATCAAGCCCCAACGGCCCTTTGGATCAACAACCTCAACAAACTCATACACCCATTCTTCAAGATCAAGCCCAACGCCCCTTGAAGATCCATTCATCAACTGTTCATCCTTAGATCAAACCCCGACGGCCCTTTGGATCAACAACTCATCCACAAACCAACATCCTACGAAGATAGAATTAGAGGATCAAATTACAAAGAGATTGTAACCCCAAAATCATTAATACAAAAATATATTTTGTACACGTATTCTTGTTTCTTGTTTCAGGAATTTTTCGGGTTTACAATGTCTTCCGTAGGTGGGGGAGTTTTTGTCTTGGGTAATTGGGATAACGCTAGTGGCCTTAGTGGCGGCATCTGGTGTATCCTCTATCTTTGCTACTGTTTTTGGGTGTGCAGGGCACCCTTCTGTTTGCTTCATGGCCTTATGCCTTGTTGGTTGAAGAATTGCTTCTTGAACCAAAAAAAAAAAAGAAAAACATTCAGGAAGAAAAGAAAAGTAAATTGAAGATAAGGGATTAGAAAAACAAATGTTATCACTTAGTACTATAATTTAAGGCTATTTTTTTTTTATTATTAATTAAGAGGTCTTATGTTCGATTTTAATTAGAATTCATTTCGCCGGCTTACCGCTAAAAGAAATGGTGGAATTGAATCCTTCAACTTCTGCGTTTGAGTCAATAGCACTCTATTTTGTTGTGAGGGCATTTAGGTCCATTGGCAATAAATTTGGTTAGAATTATAAGGTTAGCATTCTACATTTCCCGACGCCTACACCAAAGCGCAGTAGAAACCCGAGATCCCCGCCCGGAACGTAGACTTCCAAATAGTTCAGAAACAGCAGCGCGTGTGATCCCAACCATCAATGGCGTCGTGCAAGACTCTGCTATCAGCAACAGCAGCTCTAGTATTAGCGACGTCCCTCTTCTGGACATTGGCATCGTCATCGGCGTCGCCTAATTCGGCCGACTCCCTCGCCTTCATCAAGAAGACCATCTCTTCCAACAAGATCGCCATCTTCTCCAAGTCCTACTGCCCGTACGTCGTGCCACTCTCTTCCGTTCTTTTTTCACTAATTTCTTGTAACTTTGATTCAACGTTTCATCTGTTTGATTTGAATTCAGCCCATTTACTATTTTGTTTAATTTTTCAGTTTTTATGTTTTGGAATTTGGGGTTGGGTTGAAATTTCGATTGATCCGAGTAGGATGAGGAGTTTTCGGTTTTGTTACCATTGATGAGTTTCTGGGTTTTGAAGAAATCGCCAATTGCAGAACTCCCAAGTTCGAATTGACGAATTCCCCTTCTCGTAGTTTATATTAGATTAGAATATCACCCAGGTCGAAGAGAAAGAAAAATGAACAATTAGAAGTTAATTTTGGTTTTTAGAGGTACATTTTATCGAAACACGCTTACGGCAGTTTAGATTAGATTAGAATATCGCTTGAATTGACGAGAAAAAAAAATTGAAATAACCAATTAGAAGTAATTTTGGATTTACACTTTGTTTTTTATTTAATTTTTCATCAGAAGCACAAGGACATACGGCAAATTTGGGTTTTTAGAGGGCAATTTCATCAGAAGCACAAGGACATACTGCAAATTTTACTTTTTGTTGTCTTTTTTTGTGTAACGTATATATTGAATTCCTCCTCTTATTTTATTTTCTGATTTGCAATTTATTTGGATTGTTTGCAGGTATTGCAGAAGGGCGAAAGCAGTTTTCAAAGAGTTGAACCAAGTACCGTATGTGGTTGAGCTTGACGAGAGAAGTATGTTTCATTTAGGCCTTACGGATTTTTTCACACAATGTGCATGAAAACATAGAAAGTAAGGAGCTTGTTGCTGAAATATGAGATTGGTGCAAATTAACTTGTGGGTTGAAATCAATCTCAAGAAATGGCTAAATGTGTTTCCGAGTTCTAGGAATGTGCATTAATTATTCAATCTTCTAAGTGCCCTATTAGCTTGCAACAAGTTCCAAATTTTGTTGTTAGGATTAGCTTTTCTGGATTGCTGAGTCGCAAATGTGATAGGGTTGCTTGAATTTGCATTCAGGACAATAGTGTGCCTGTTAGACAATGCTTCTTGTAGAAGCACTTTGTTCAGCAGCTTTGTGCTGTTTCGTTTGAAATTTGAAAGTGCATATTAGCATATGTATGCCTGTACTATACTCAAGTGCAAGTTCCATTCCATTATAAGTTGTTGATTGAAGATGGCAATGTGTCTTTTCAGTTGATGGTCGGGACATACAAGATGCTTTAAGTGAGCTTGTTGGGAGGCGTACTGTACCGCAGGTGTTCGTGAAGGGGACGTACATTGGGGGCTCAGATGGTAACTGTTTTTCCTTTCAAAATCTTTTGTTCTCTTTATTTCTGGGAAACGTGATTACGCCAAGAAAATTGCTAGTAGCTGATGAATGCTCTGTTTTCTAGATACGGTTGAAGCATACGAAAGTGGAGAACTGGCTAAGCTTCTCGGCATTGAGGTCAAGAAGAGTAGGGATGATCTTTAAATTGAATCGTCAATGATTAAAAACTGGTAGCCAATTTCCGAGAAAAATTGAATGTAATGCTTTATAAGTAACTCCTTCCTTCAAATGTGCGCGCGCGCACATAGCATTCACTTTTGCATAATCTTGTACTTTATTTGGATGATTGTATTTTAGTAATTTAAAGGAGATTGCTTTATTTTTCATTTGTCGCTTGGATCTTAAGGTACTGATGAGGTTTGCAGAGACATGAAATACTAACAGAAGATGGTGGAATACAGCCAGTGAAAAACAAAAACTAGTTGTCCCTTTGTTGTATCCTCTGATCCGATGGAGAAGCAGAACGATCGGTTATATGAAGCACCATGAACTTCGGTCGCCTTCTCTGTAGTCTGAATTCCGCAGTATTGCTGTCGTTGATGGCACTTGCAGTTTCTATGTGCAGAACTTGATGGCTACGCAACTAAAACAAAATTAATAACGGAATAAAGGTTTGGCAAAACGAACGCAAATCAATCAGAATCCAGGAAAGCGTCACCAAACAGCGTGATACTTTATACTCTCCTACGCTCAGTCTAAATCAAGAAGAAATCTAAAAAGGAATATATTATTTAATTTGAACAATTTAGTTCAAATTAACTAGTTGGGTAACTGCAGAATGCTCAATGAATGAGCTAGTTGTTGGTCTATAAAATCATGGAGTTCACAACACTAGGGTAAGTGCAACACAAAATTAACTAGTTGAATTGTCAAGAAATCAACCACTTTCTGGATCTGTTGAAGTTTAATTCTCTCGTGTTAGCATGGTATCAAAGTAGGTTGTTCATGTGTCGTGCCCAACATCACCCAATACGTGTTGTCCATGTGTAGCCTTAAATGACACCACAAGTGAGGGTGTATGTTGAGAGTGTAAATCCCATATCGGGGAATTAATTGAAGGATCTTGAATGTGCTTATAAGAAGTTGGATTACACATAATACTGCCAATTGATCGTGTTTCAAGTTGGTATGATTTGATGTATTGGTGGTATATTCTCAATTTATATGTGATTTTTCTCAGTTAAAATTCTCTCTCTCTCTCTCTCTCTCTCCCTCTTATTTTGTGAATCTTACGCTAAATATTTTCATTTTCTTTTCACTTACATTTTGATATGATTGTCTTCTGCATAGATTGAAAAAAATCTTGTTTGACTGCTTAAAATGATTCTTGTTTGAAATGTCTTGTTCTGGAGGGTGAACAATGCATGTGGGCTGATCCACATTTGTGACCAAATCATATGGTGTCGATTAACAAGAAAGACAGACAAGTTTTTGACCCCAATGTCTATGGAAAGGATGATGCCCGGACATGCCTTACTTAATAATATTGAAGCAGACTCATACAATTATAATGCACACAGACAGACACATACATGTGCGTGCATATTATACTCCATGATTGTTGTTTGCTACCAGGCTGAGATGTGTGCTGGCTTATACTATAAGACAAAGCAAAGCACACAGTTATTGGAAATTATATTAGGTTTTCGAACTTTGAATCTAAATAATTACTATCAGAGTTCATCGCTGTTTCACGTGGAATATGGATTGAAGAAAGTGACGTTGATTATCATTCTGTTTCTAATTTGATGGTATGGGATGTGTGTACAACGTCTGGTCAAGGGTTTAGTTTGAATCCACTTCAATATTCCTAAAGTTTCAAATCTGTTCCTAATATTGTTTGTACCATATTTGATCAATCCTGAAACTACTAAGCACCAGTCAACAGCATATCGTCAAGAATTCACAAGACTTTTCCTCCAACCAGGAGGCCGATCACAACAAGACACATGTCGGTATTAGAGGTCAATCATAGCGCGACACGTGTCGATATCAGAGGCCAATCACAACACGAGACGTGTTAATGTCAAAACAAAGCTAGAAACTCTCTTCTATAAAAGGGGATCATTCTCCCACAGTAATCCCTAATGTCATTTGTACTAAACTATTCACCAGAACTCACTAAAAGAGAGCTTGAACCTATGTATTTGTGTAAATCCTTCACAACTAATGAGAACTCCTCTACTCCGTGGACGTAGCCAATCTGGGTGACCCACGTACATCTTGTGTTATTTGCTTCCCTGTCTCTATTCATTTACATACTTATCCACACTGGTGACCAGAGCAACCTAGCGAAGGTCACAAACTTGACACTTTTTGTTGTACCAAAGTCCTCGCCGATTTTGTGCATCAACATTTGGCGCCGTCTGTGGGAATCACACTTATTCCTACTCTCTCCAGCTTTGTCAAGCTAGTTTCCACCATTCGTACACATTCTTTCGACCAGGGATCCCTCTCCAACATGGGGAGTGAAGGAAGCCACAACACGCAGAACGACACCCCCCTCGCACTTAGTGCGAAGCAACGAAAGAAGTTTGCTCTTCAGGCTAAAGTCGATGAGCTAGAGGCTCAGAACAATAAGATAGCAATAAAGAATGAGATCATCCAGGAGCAGTATGAGAAGCTCTTCAGGATGATCCATGAAGCTAGGCATACTCAAACACACGAACTCATCGTCCCTGAGGAAGTCAACCATCACCTGGGTGTCCCCCAACACGAGGGATCACCTGCCTTCAACATGGATATCCCTAATGGGGAGCAAGTTACTCATCAAGGTGTTGATCAACATGAGACCTCTCTCGACCTAGCTGCTTCGACCCGAAGCAGGAGAAGTGGAGGAAGGCACCTTCTTGCAGAAAGAGTAGAAGGATCAAAAGCCGTTTATTGCAACTGTCAGGACTTCCTGAGGCAACGTCGAGAGAACCCCATCCACATAAGCTCGAAGGTCAATAACCCAAGGGTTTCTAAAAGATTCAATCATCTCCCATGCCCCAAGCCAACTACCAATCTAGGGAATGAGCGACATGTCTTAGAGGAATATGAAGGTATAGGGGACTCGGGGGCGTTTCGACAGGCTCACCCTGGAAGTTAGTACGGTGAGTCCAAAGAAAAATCTCATGCCCTTGATCAAGTTTTCCTACTTCCAAGAGGAGATGGACACTTACGGAATAAGGATCTAGCAGTACCTGACTCCACTCAGGACCCCCTTGTCTTATAACTCCTTGAGAAAGTACACAAGTTGAAGGCCGAACGTCAGGCCAAAATACCTGACTGGAACCAACCTAGGCCTGGCCCTCTTACAAGGAGGATCCTCAACACCTCCTCCAAGCAAAGACAAAGCAGAAGCTTGGCTTACAGCTCTACACTGGAAGGAAGGACCCGATTGAACACCTTAACCTCTTTGAGTCCACCATGGCATATCGGATGCACACCGATGAAGAACAATGTCTTCCCTTCCCCTCTACCTTCTTTGGCGGAGCTTTGAATTGGTATTGTCGTCTTCCACCTGAGACAATAGGCTCATTTGAGGAACTAAGGAAACTGTTTATCTCTCAACACATCTTCCAGAAAGATCGCTTGCATTCCGCAGATGACTTGTACACTATTCGCCAGAAGCCGGACGAGCCACTACGAAAGTATGCCAGCCGCTTCAGCCATAAGTATACCGCCTTCAAAGCCTTCACGGTATGCCTACGTGATTGTTTCTTCAAGTACATGATCAATACCAACACTTGGAAGACTTACTCTAGGGTGATGGCACATGCTTACAACCACGTCTCCGCCGAAGCAAGGACATACCAAGGGAACCCCCATATGGTTAACCCTTATCAACAAGTGGGAAGTGGAAGTCAAGTTCTATCAAGTGAGGAGATCTTGGCCATTCAGAAACCCATTGCATCATCTCCTGCCTCATTTAGTTACTTGCTAAGTCACCAAATGTATTTGTCTCTTGGTAAGAGGAAGAATTTTTATTCTCAGCAAGCTTATTACAACAAGAAGGATAAAAGTTCGTATCAAGACAACCAGGGGTGAACGTACCGTTGACTATTATGACTATGGGGCCAAGCCTCATTTTTTCAAAGTGGAGGACTGGGTACTGAAGAAAATGCTATTATAAGAAGGCATACACATTACAAATGTTTTGACTCTCAACCACTTAAGATCTTTTGTCACATAAGCCATTCGACAAATATTTAAAGAAGAGGGAATTCAGACAACTTATTATGAGTCTTTTGCATTCCTAGCACTAGAACACTTGGTCTACGCTGACCTACCCCTATACTCCAACTCAGAGCTTCAACATGCGTACTTTGACACAAAGTATGTGATACTAAGTGTTAGAACCAACATGGTTCACATATCGAAAGCATGGATCCCTTCATGTATAGCAAAACATTCATACGCATCACTTATGTCAATAAACATGAACATCATACATTCCAACACATTCATACATAAACATCATACATTCCAACACATCCATACATAAGCCAACTGTACTTCGAAAGGATTCAACATACTTTGTGTCATTCGACACTTGCTACAATGTGCCTCGACACCTCGCCCTTATTCTCACGAACCAAGTGATGAAATGTGAAGAAAGAATTCATCTTCATGTCACCAACGAGGTGATGAAATGTACAACCTGTACTCTCCTTCGTGCCACCAACCAAGTGATAAAATGTACAACTTGTACTCTAATATCATTTGGAAACTTGCCACTCATGCCACCAACCAGGTGAAGAAGAAACTTATTTTCATGCCACCAAACAGGTGACGAAATGTACAACCCGTACTCTCCTTCATGCCACCAACCAGGTGATGAAATGTACAACCCGTACTCTAATATCATTTGGCAACTTGCCACTCATGCCACCAACCAGGTGATGAAATGTACAACCTGTACTCTAACATCATTTGGCAACTTGCCATTCATGCCACCAACCAAGTGAAGAAAGAACTCATCTTCGTGCCACCAACCAGGTGGTGAAATGTGATGAAAGGTGATAAAGGAACTCACATTTGTACCACTAATCAAGTGATGAAAGCAACTCACCATTCATTCCACCAACCAGAAGACGAGTGGTACAACTTGTACATGTGAACTCCTAACATTCATAAATAATCAAAAACCCTCAAGCTTTACAACTCAACTAGGGGAGCACTTATGCCTAACAAGAGTTATAGTCACCAACAAAGTCTTATTGCAAGCCAACAACGGCTTCAGTGCATGATATACGAAGATCAAGCTCTTCAGCCCCCTTACATCTGCTTCAGACATTTCTCCTCTATAACAATGCAAACACTATAGCTCATAGAAAGCTTCACACACTCTTGATCAAGACTGTTTGAAGCAAATTCAATTTATATGGTTCATCCAAACCTTCGACTACTACAAGGTGTGGCTTGCATCGCAATCTCTTGCTCAACAGTGTGGAAGCAAAATTTGTATATGTTGTCTCTCTTCCACAAAATTTGTATATGTTGTCTCTCCCACATTTTCAAATTTCTAATTTCACCACCCCCCCCCAAAAAAAAAAAAAAAAAGAGGAAATTGGGAAATTCAACAACTTCAACAAATGAAGGGTAACTACAATTCTCAAAAGCTTCATACACTCTTGATCAAGATAGTGTGAAGCAAAATCAATTCATGGTGCCCAACAAAGCTTCAACCTCAAAGCTTCACCTACAAAACTTTAACACAAAAGCTTCACCACAAAAGCTTTAACAAATGGAGAGCAACAACAAATGTCAAAAGCCTCACACACTCTTGATCAAGATAGTGTGAAGCAAAATCAATTCATGGTGCCCAACAAAGCTTCAACCTCAAAGCTTCACTCACAAAGTTTCAACACAAAAGTTTCACCACAAGAGCTTTAACAAATGGAGGGCAACAACAAATGTCAAAAGCCTCACACACTCTTGATCAAGATAGTGTGAAGCAAAATCAATTTATGGTGCCCAACAAAGCTTCAACCTCAAAGCTTCAACCACAAAGTTTCAACACAAGAGCTTCACCTACAAAGCTTCAATACAAAAGTTTCACCACAAGAGCTTCAACATATGGAGGGCAACAACAAATGTCAAAAGCTTCACACACTCTTGATCAAGATAGTATGAAGCAAAATCAATTTATGGTGCCAACAAAAGCTTCAACAAGTGAAGGGCAACAACAATTCTCAAAAGCTTCACACACTCTTGATCAAGATAGTGTGAAGCAAAATCAATTTATGGTGCCCAACAAAGCTTAAACACAAAAGCTTCACCTACAAAGTTTCAACATCAAACAAAGTTTTAACAACAAAGCTTCATCAATGGAGAGCAACTACAATTCTCAAAAGCTTCACACTCTTGATCAAGATAGTGTGAAGCAAAATCAATTTATGGTGCCCAACAAAGCTTCAACACAAAAGCTTCAACTACAAAGTTTCAACACAAGAGCTTCACCTACAAAGCTTCAACACAAGAGCTTCACCTACAAAGCTTCAATACAAAAGCTTCACCTACAAAGCTTCAATACAAAAGCTTCACCTACAAAGCTTCAACACAAAAGCTTCACCTACAAAGCTTCACCTACAAAGCCTCAACACAAAAGTTTCACCTACAAAGCCTCAACACAAAAGCTTCACCTACAAAGCTTCAATACAAAAGCTTCACCTACAAAGCTTCAACACAAAAGCTTCACCTACAAAGCTTCACCTACAAAGCCTCAACACAAAAGTTTCACCTACAAAGCCTCAACACAAAAGCTTCACCTACAAAGCTTCATTAATGGAGAGCAACTACAATTCTCAAAAGCTTCACACACTCTAGATCAAGATAGTGTGAAGCAAAATCAAGTTATGGTGCCCAACAAAGCTTCAATACAAAAGCTTCAACACAAAAGCTTCACCTACAAAGTTTCAACACAAAAGCTTCACCTACAAAGCCTCAACACAAAAGCTTCACCTACAAAGCTTCACCTACAAACTTCAACACCAAAGCTTCAACACCAAAGTTTCAACACAAAAGCTTCAACACCAAAGTTTCAACACAAAAGCTTCAACACCAAAGCTTCACCCACAAAGCTTCAACACAAAAGCTTCACCTACAAAACTTCACCCATTAAAAAATAAAAAAATAAAAAAATAAAAAAATTCAAAATTCAAAAATTCAAAAATTCAAAAATTCAAAATTTCGAAAATTCTATTAAAAAAAAAAGAAAAAAAAAAAGAAGAAAGAAAGAAAGAAAGAAATGAGCCTAGGCCTCCCCTTCTTTGGGCCTAACAACTTTCATACCAAATATATATGAAGGAGGAATTTTAGGCAACCACTTAAAAAGGAAAACGGTGAAGTTTTGTTTGGAAAATTGCCTACTAGCAAGACACCTCTCTTGTTAACTCTCTCGACCGGAGACTTGGGGGACTCCTACCATATACCACTACACCTTGGTACTCAGAAATTTCGCGACTACTCAGTGCCTTGGATTTTTCAAGTCCCTAATTGAGAAGTTTTCCTCACTCAAGAAATTAAGGGAGCACTACTTCAACCTACAGGGTCCACCCACGAAGTTTCAACATGCAAACTTCAACAAAATAAAAAATCCAGGCTCGACATCATTGCTCTAATTGAAGAGATCGAGAAGCCTTAATAGCCATTTGCCAACACCATTGTTGAAGAACAAAGCTTCGCCATACCACATCTACTACTTTGTTAATCAGGAAAAGTATCCCATATCATCAGGATCGAACATACTCCAGATTTGACGGACTTGTTTTGACCCTCAAATTCTGGAGTCGGCTCGCTCTTTTGGAGGAAACCAGAAAACCCTCTAACCCAATTCAAGAATACACCTGTGGAAAGTTAAGTACAACAAAGCACGTGCCGATTCGTCCATCTTCTCCAAAAACAAGAGTACCTCATATCATCTCTTCTCCCTGTTTCTTCTCTTTATCCTTATTGCTGAATGAGAGATAGGGAGAATGAGTACAATCAGCCGGAACCCAAGATCAACCTACCGATCTGAGACTGATTGCTTACCTTGTCTGTCACCTCATTCGGTAGATCTCCTCGCTTAGAGACTTAGGGGACTCCTACTATATGGTCTGTATCGCACTTGACCAAACCTGAAACTACAAGTAAGCTTTAAATGAAAATGATACATTACCTTGTGCATCAATGCCAACCAAAGATACCACTCCTGGATGAAGGAAAAGTACTTCCAAGAGAAGATGCCACATCTACTTACAAGATAGAGAAGGCAAGTGAAGGCGACACCACATTTCGGTACTTGGAAGTTTCGTGATTACTCAATGGCTTGGATCTTGCAAGTCCCCAACCGAGGAGCTTCCCTCACTCGGGAACTTAGGGGAGCACTGTTTGTACCATACTTGACCAATCCTGAAATTACTAAGCACCAGTCAACAACATACCGTCAAGGATCCACAAGACTTTTCCTCCAACCAGGAGGCCAATCACAACACAAGACGTGTCAATGTCAAAACAAAGCTAGAAACTCTCTTCTATAAAAGGGGATCATTCTCCCACAATAATCCCTAATGTCATTTGTACTAAACTATTCACTAGAACTCATTAAAAGAGAGCTTGAACCTATGTATTTGTGAAACCCTTCACAACTAATGAGAACTCCTCTACTCCGTGGACGTAGCCAATTTGGGTGAACCACGTACATCTTGTGTTATTTGCTTCCCTGTCTCTATTCATTTACATACTTATCCACACTGGTGACCAGAGCAACCTAACGAAAGTCACAAACTTGACACTTTCTGTTGTACCGAAGTCTCGCCGATTTTGTGCACCAACAAATATATTGGATCAAAGTGGAATGACATGATGATACAAAAGAAAGTTTTTACTTTTGGATTTCTTGAAAAGTTACGAAGTTTCAAACGACATGATAAAAATTCTGCACTCGTAATGAAAATTGGTATTTAACGCTGCTAGACTTCTGACATACTCTGGTTCTCATTGTGCAATACAGGTGGGAAGGAGTTGTTCGCGTTGCGATCTTAGGTTGGAACCAGAACCAAAGAAAAGCTCATATTTCTTCCGAGTATTCAACTGGAATTGTTCATCATATATCTGTTAACTTGTTGGATGCTGCAATTGGGCTGATCAGTGATTCTGATTCTACCTTGTGGACAGCTTGATTGGTTGCTTCAACTTTTTTTTTTTTTTTTTTTTTTTTTTGCAATCACATATCCATAATTGGCTTGATTTGAACCAAATAATCATTTCCCGTCGGCTGATTGACAAAGTTAATATAGAGTCACAGTTGTTGGTAGGGTTCCGGAGTGTGGAATTAGCAGAAAAACAAAGATCCTTTCCAACGGATTGGATGGCTTGAGTTTCTTAATACGGAGGAGGAAAGCAGTCCGACTCCTGAGCAGATTATGTATTTGATGGGAATGAAAAACTTGTTGAGATTGTGCATTCAACATACAGACAAGGTGGAAGCTGCAATTCAGCAGCTAAGGTCTAGGTTAGTGAGGTGATATTTGAGGATGCAATAGTGAGGTATAAGGTACTGCTACAAAAATATAGAAAGGGCAGAAAGCAATATATGAATGGAGTGGATTCACTGCATTGCGAATTTGAGTTATCTCACGTGTTCGCTTCTCCCTATCTGTTCTTAAATTAAAGCTAGTTCCGACAGGGTGAACCCTTGATGGACAGGAATGAACCATTTGGCTCTTTCAAAGTGGAGTCTGATTTCATCTGTTAATGATCCAGATTTATAGGTAATGTAGCCAGTTTACGGTTAAAGTGTCATGCTCTTCCATAACCTATGGCTCAAGGTACATCATAATTCACTTGTTGGCCTGGGTTTTATTCGTGTGAACAAACAGCTATGTAGGTAAAGAGAAATGATGAAAAGAAACATGAATTCCGCAACAATAGTAACGACAACTTTAATCAGGAGTTCCTTCATGACACATATAAGTACATCATATCTGCATAACTCTCAATCAAGAAGGTTCAGTAATGATCTATGGTGTGGGATGTCTAGGTGTTGGATTTGGATGAGTGGTCACTCCATGGTAATCGATGTGATAAACAAGTTCGTCTAAATCACTCTTGCTGTTTGAAAAGTTGATTACAACTGGAATTTCTTGGAACTTCGATGTTTCTGACTCTCCGTCTCCATCAACGACCTACATGTAACACAACCCCAGTGATGATTTTGGATAAAAGTAGAAGACAAACACAATCATCTACTAAAAAAGAACTTAAAAAGGTTATCGTAATAGAATCAGATAGTTTCAGCATACAAATTTGAAAATAAAAATACTTTGTTTTCTGTCACTGAGCGGACTGTTCGGGGACTGAACACTATGATTATCAACTCATGCATTGTGTTCAAAGAAATTAAGCTTGAGCAGGATTCATTTTTCAAGTGGAATTTGGTATGTGTGAGAACTGGGAACAGATCTATTTTGGACCCTATATGAAAATAGTTGAAGTCCCATCACGAAAAACTTCATGAATTGCACGAAAACTCGGAATAAAAACATTATGCATCATATAAAAAAAACCCTACCTTGAACTTTTGATACTTAACCTTGTTGTTGGTCAATGACATGCTTAATTTTCTCATGGGTCGTCTTCCTGGGAGAGAAGTCCGTGAAGCGGTACTGATCTTGTGGGAAGAAAGACAGAGAACTGTTATAAGGAAGCATAAGAAAATGATGTACACGGATTTCATCGTTTATGCAGCTGAATGAAAAGCTTCATATACTTGCGGAGCGAAAAGTTGGAGAACGAATATAGATATATATTGTGTGAGAGAATGTGTGTGTGTGTGGGTGTGTGAGATATAGAGGGAGAGAGAATTATTGATTAAGGGACTGAGAAACATGTCTGAGCCCATGCCTGTGATTCTGTTGTTTATGAAATGGCGTAGACAGGTGTGTCCCATGCTGTTTCCTAATATACACTCTTTGAAGACTCGTGGCCTAAGAGCAATTCCAGTGGAGAGAAAAAAGGCAAAGGTAAGGGCTGCCAAATTGCCCAAAACTCCAGCCACTTAGTACTACAGTTTAGCGGTATTTCTCTTCACTTGTAAGTGAAATATCTTAAGTTCGATTCTCGCCAAAAGTGAATTTGAACCACATTATTGCTAGCTTGTTAAGAAGCTTAGTCCACCCCCTTACCCCTTAATGTGGATAATATCGTTTGTTCAAAAAGAAAGAAAAAACCACTTAGTACTACGGTCAAGTTATGTTCCTCTCCACTTGTAAATGAGAGTTTTTAGGTTCGATTTTCGCCAAAAGCAAATTTGAATCATATTATTGCTAGCCTATTGTGATGTGAGGCTAAGCTCACCCCCTCTGTAGATAATATGGTTTGTTAAAAAAAAAAAACAGAAAAAAAAAAATATGCCCAAAATTCTGAAGGGTTGCTCCAACAACCCAAAAAATCGGGGGTGATTCGTGGGCTTCACCAAGTCCGTTGTGCAACCAACGTTTGCAAGGGTTTGCTCATGCTGATGTTGCACGACATCAACATGACATCTACCAGTGGATGGCGGGCTCCGAGACAAATAAAAGTAGACAGAGTCCAATGACTCTTTAAACCGCTTAACATAGATTGTTGGATTTTCAACAATTTGATGGTCAGGACTGTTGGATTTTCAATGATTAAAAAATTGAACACTTCTCTTTTGTGCCACTTCACACAACTAGGTGCGTCTGATTTCCAAATAGTGTGGAAATCAACGGCGAAGATTAATCCAATGGTAAAAAAATAAAAAAATATACCAAATATTTTTTGTAATTCTATAAATACCTAACCATCTTCTTCATTCCCCATACCACACTACAATTCAATATTTATTTTTACTACAATCTCCTATATTTGTTTTCCACTTTCTAAATCCTTTTGTTAAAAAAAAAAAAAAAGAGTGAGAAGGCAAATTGGTTGATTGGAAAAGATGTTGCTTTGTTTGAGACTTGGGTGCTGATCACTCATGACCCGGTCACGGGAAATGAGAGGAGGGTGCAACATGTAGAAGAAGATTCATTTACAAGGCACAAATGTTGGAACAATGTGAAGCATATTCCAAAGTACAAAGTTCTTCCTATTGGTCTAGAAGTTGTGTTGAACGACACTCCTTTACATGAATCAACTATTGAAGAGTCACCATTGAAGTCCCAATTGAATCGGTCGCACCGACCCAAGAAATCCCGAGGCAAGAAGGCTGCTAAGAAAAGAGCTACAAGAGGGAGGCATTCGAATAATGATTAATCAAAATTAGTTGACAAATTGGCTCGCCAACATGCACTGACTATAGAGCAAGAAAGGTTATCCTATGAGCAAGAATAAGCTAGAGATAAAGTAAATGTGAGAGAAAGGGAGTTACATATGCAAGAAAGGCAAGAGGAGAAGGATGGAGTGGAGCTGCTCTAATAATTTGTAACAGGAAAGTAAAGTCCATATTCCCCCCTCTTGTGTTGCAGAGTAGGTAAAGAGAAGAAACTGAAATTCACGTTTACGTTTCATGTCAAACAAAGCCATTCACGCTTGAATCATTATCCATGTTTTGTCCTCACCAATAACTTCCTTCTTTTGGTCATGTCACTCTTTGGCTGCTTTCCCCCACTCTCACTCTCACTCTCTCTCTCCAATATTTCGATGTTGAAGGCATCTTTCATTCAAGATGCAATCTGTGATGATGGCATTATTGTCAAATGCAATCCCTGGCCCTTGCTGTCGGCTTCATATTTACAGTCATGTTTTTCATTTTTCAAAAATTCAGGACCCGCTTGATTGCTATTTAGTTTTTTGTTTTTGTTTTTCACCTTTTTGTGCTTGATATATGAAGAAAGTACATAGAAAAAGAAGATGAAGATGGGTGATAAGAGAAGGCAACAAACAACTAAGTATCAATTGAAAATAAAATTTTTAATTTGAAAACAACTTAAAATAATTTTGGTTTTTAGTTTTCATTTTGTGTCTTCCTCTTCTTATCTATTATCCTTTATATATTTTCCACTATATATATAGGGGTGTGATATCCACACACCCCATTTTGCTTCTTACACACCTTTTTAATTTCCGGCCGTCGGATCAGATGAATTGAAGAATATCAACATATATAAATTATCAAGGGGTGTGTGAGAAGTAAAATGAGATGTGTAGATAGCATACTCCTATATATATCCCTCCTCGACAACTCGTCTAAACCCCTCATTTCTTCCGTATGTTATCCCTCTATCTCTAAGATAAACATAAAAACAAAAAAATAAAAAACGAAGTAGTTATCAAATAGGTCGTACAAAAATTGAGTGTTCAATGGTTTTTTACTGCACGCAGATTGTAGACCGCAACACGAGATCATGAAAAGATGTTTGAGAGACTGATGAGAGTGTTCAAGGCTATGAAACGTTTTTTACTGCATGGGTTTTTTTTATGATGGTCTTCCATAATTGTCAATCCAGACGAGTGATGAGGGTCAACTCAGTAGTGGTTAAAGAAAAATGGGTTGGGAATGGTTATGAGGAGAATATTGATCTGCGTATTTGAAGAATTTTCCTCTTAATTAATGCATAATCCTAGTGACGTTACTAATTTATTACTTGTTTGTCATTTGTTCATTAAATGTTTGTTATGTGTTCGAAATCGACTTAACTATTTAATAGATGTTTATCACATTACTACATTTTACAATTACCACGCAAAGAAGAATTTCGTCACCCAAAAAATTGCCCGAAATTGCACGACGAATGCTTTATCACACAAGGCTTGTGAAGTTAGGGTTTGCACGATGAAGACACAGATCTTCGTCGCGCAAACACTTTTGCTCAATGAAAATGATATTCATCACACTAAGTTTTAAGGAACGAAGTGATTCGTGGTGCAAGATTTAGAACCATGAAATATGCTGTCGACTAATGGCAATGAAAGCATTTCCCTAGGTAGGTATTTGCGCAACGAATATTGTTGTTGTGTAAACATTAGCGCAAGGACATTTTTTTCATTTTTTTCGGAAAATTAAAAATTATTAAACTGTAGGTAATTTGTCGTTGATTGTTTTGGTCAGCGAATCATTTCATTTCCTTTACTTTAGGTACTGTTTGGTACGTGAGACGAGGTGTTCCATCCCACGCTTGTTGCGCTCAAAAATCGTGGAATGCATTGTCCCACGGGACGAAATTTGGCTGATTTTTCGTTCCGCCTCCCCCTTGGAACAACTCGTTCTACATCCGTGGAACACAAAATTTTAACATTTTAAGACAAAAATGCCCATTATCTTTTTCAATATTTACACCATCCACATTGCATCTCCCAGGTATCTCGCAACCTTCCTCCTCATCCTCTCCCATAGCCTCTCTTTTCTCTTCCTGAAGGAGTGGAACTCAAAGCTCTGCATCTCCAAGTTCGATCTCTGCATCCAATTCCAATCTCTTTTTTTTTTTCACAATATTATATGATCCTCTGCAATTGATAATCTGGTTCTAATCTGCCATCTTCTCCTTAAACCCTAGGTTTTGCTCTCAAAGTTTTGATCTTTACATTTTTCTGCTGTAACTTTTTCTGGGTTTTGGTTTTTAAGGCGCTTGAAGGTTGATTTGTTTGATTTTGAGGTAGTTCCTGTTGATTTCATTGGATGATACGATATAATGAATGATCTAGTTTGGTTTGGATTCATAATCTAGGGTTTTGAATTGGGATTAATTGTTCAAGTAATTTTTAATTCTGCTGATTGTCTGTTTTCTAGTGTTTCTGTGTAATTAGCTTCTGTTTATGTTGCTAGGAAACTGCTCAAATTAATAAATCATTTTAATTTGATTTTTGTGTTGTGATTTGATCAGGTTCCAGTTTAGTAATGACTAATGAGCTTTTGCTTTGTTCTAATGAAATAGTCTTCATTTTTTTTGAAATTTTGATTCGTTGGACTAATTGGGTTTTCTTTGTGTGTTTATTGTGCTAAGTGTTGGATAATGTTTGATTAACTCTGGTATTTTGTTTCCATTTAGTTTTTCCTGTGGAAGAGTGAGGGCATTTACTATTGATTTGGAATTGAAGAAGTACACGTTAAACCTTTCCATGGTGTTGAATTTCAAACCTCTAGCATCTGCCTGAAGAATTTCATTATCTTCAACCAGACTGATCATCGAAGTCAGATTGTGTTCAATCCTGAAATTGCCCACAAAATTACTGGTCCTGCCTTTAACCTCTATGCAGCTTACATCCAAGACAATCTGGGACTGATAGCTTGTTGAAAGTTTTCTGGTTTTTAATTAGTTGGGGTTTTCTAGTGCTTATTGTAAGGCATATGATGCATGCGTAAGTTAGTCATTTAATCTTTTGGTTCTGTTCCATCCAACGTGTACCAAACGCAAGAATGGAACAACTGTCCCGTTCCGTTCTGCGCGTACCAAACATAACACGGAATTTACATTCAAACTTTCATAGACAGCCCTATTAAAAATCGTACGAAATCTACAAACAATCAGATTGAGAAACAGAAGCCTAATTTATGCTTGCCCTCTTCACTTTGAACTCCCCTGCATATTTTACACTATAGTATAGGTTAAATTAAATTAAAACATCCAACAAAATTTAATCACAAATTTCATCTGGGTAATTATCAAAATCGAAAAAGGAGATTAAAAGTGTCAAAGAAAAGAATTAGGAGAAGAGTTGTTAATTAAAAACTAAACATTTGACAAAGGTGATTAAATTTGTTCCTTCTCAGTTGGCCCCTGAAACCAGCCATTCCATATTAAATACAACAAATTAATATGAAAGCTAGTAATTTAATTACAAAGTTCATCGTATATAAATTTCCTCATACTAATCTCTAGTAAAAATTCAATCACAATAATAAATTGGTACATATGAAATAAAATTTTCAGTTTATTTATACAGAGACATGGAGAGGATGGATGTTGGTGCTTACATGATCATAG